GCACGGCGGGTCCGGGGCGGGGTACAGTTTGTGCACAGGGGGCGGTAGGTGTACCCGGACACACTGTGGTCGCCATGCAGAGGGTCCGGCTGGCCCACTCGGCTGATGAGCTGCTGGCCACACAGGCCGGGTTTGGCAGGACGGTGGATCCTCTCATAGACCTGTAAGTACTGACTGACACTGCCCCCCCCCAGCCCTGAGACTGCCCCTCCCCCTGGGCAGGACCCCCCAGCCCTGAGACTGCCCCCCCTCCCCCTGGGCAGGACCCCCTGAGACTGCCCCCCCAGCCCCGAGACTGCCCCCAGCTCTGAGACTGCCACCTCCTGGGCAGGACCCTGAGACGCCTCCCCAGCCCTGAGACTGCCTCTATCCCCTGGGCAGGACCCCCAGCGAGACTGCTCCCTCCCTGGGCAGGACTCCCCAGCCTGAGACTGCCCTCTTTCCTGCAGCACCCCCAGCTCCCTGAGACTGCTCCTCCCCTGGGCACCCCAGCTCCTGAGACTGCTCTCCTGGGCAGGGACTCCTGAGACTGCCTCCACCCCCAGCCTCTGGAGACTGCCTCTCCCCTGCAGGACCCCACTGCCTCCCTCCTGGGCAGGACCTCCTGAGACTGCTCCCTCCTGGCCTCCTGAGACTGCCTCCCCCAGCTCCCAGAGACTGCCCTCCTGGCAGGACCCCTGAGACCTGCCCCCTCCCCTGGGCAGGACTCCCAGCCCCTGGAGACTGCCACTCTCCCCTGGGCAGGACCCCTGAGACTGCCCCCCCAGCCCTGAGACTGCTCCCCTCTCCCTGGGCAGGACCCCCCTGAGACTGCCCCCCTCCCCCTGTGTACTGTAGCTCCCACCGGAGCACTTATTGGACACTGTGCATTGTGTGACTGTTTGCTGACTTATTGACCTTCCTATCTTATGAAATATATAACCAGATATTGTTTTGTTAACTAGTTTTATATGTTATGAAATATGTAACCACATTAAGTAATTTTATATTTTGACTTTCCTATTTTTAACTACATTTATTTATTTTTAAACCTTCAAGCTAAGGTGTAACAATATTTTGTACAAATGCACCCTACTTTGAATAAACAAGCAGAAGTAATTCTGGACTCACAACCATCTGTGTCGTGTGTTTATTGCTGCTCCAAGCGCCTGTTGCCAATTTGGAATTCCCTGAATATAAGAGGTGACCAGCCTTTGATGGTCCATGACACAGAGCAAGTATAGTGTGGCTTTACAGAAAATATAGTGGTGAGGGTTGCAGTGACATAGATGAAGGTGATATTCTCTTGTATGAAATGCTCCTTGTGAAATCCAGAGCTTGCATTCATAATGACTGTAAGTTCTGCGACCCAAGGTCTGAATCGGCATATTCAAAGCGCCATGCTGTAAAGTTAGTCCGCACAGGTAGTGAGAGATGAGTAGAATAGGCTCAGAATTACAATAACCTTCTGTTGATTACAAACATTGCCAGTCTTAAAGTTTCTGTAACGCATATTCCAGATTTGTGACACATATATATTTATACTGCGTACATAATGGGCAAAATTTGCAAGGTGCCAGATTGCCCAAAGTGAGTACAACTGGGAAGCCTAAAAAATTAGGCCCTATTTTACCTTAGTATAAAGTATTGTCATGCCTTTAGTGCAGTAACATATAAGGGTACATTTCAAACTAATAGAGCACTTCAGCTTGTTTTGTCACTTTTTTTTTACAGTTTATAAAAGTGTCAATTCAAATGGAAAGTCTGTGTCAAAACACATTCTTGACTGTCAATTATATAGTCTGGCATAGACCATATGTGGGGGGGTAAAAAGGGAGAACTTGCAAAAGTAAAACAGATGCATTTTTTTCTCTAGATTATGTAACAGAGCTCCCTGTACCCCAGCTGGGTACCTCCGCCAAGGACCGCTTCCTAGCTGGAACAGGGGACAAACCGCAGCACTTCTGCCCACAGTTGCCGTGGCTTGATTGGGGCCATGGAACTGCTCCTTCTTGGAGCTGAATGGGGAATTAGCTCTAGTCCTTACAAGGACTTTCCCCGTTGAATCCCCTGCAAGCTGGAACAGCAGACACAGGAGTAAATCTTCTTTCCCTCCAATAACAGGACGACACACAGTTTTGGAGTGTAAGCTGGAATGGCATTTTAATGGAGGCACACTGGCCTTTTATGCAAGTTTCCCAACAAGGTTGACACCCAGGTGGACCTTGTTGGGCAAAGGGGCACAAAGTGAATAATCCCCAAAAAAACAGTGAGACACTCTCATACACAAACAATAGAATCCCTCCTCTGTGGTTGGGAGATAATTGAATCAGGAACTGTACTAATCAAACCAATTATCTCCAAGCACAGAAAAAACATAACATTTTATGAAAC